GCAGGATCATCAGCAGTGCGAATTCCAGTGTGCAGCTCTGTGAAAAGAGGATCAGCTCGAGTATGGATCACAATCAAATGGCTCAGAGCAGTAGCAGCCTTGATACGCACTTGTCGATTGGAGTCATTCAGAGCCTTAAGGAATGTAGTCTGAAGTTGAGGCAGAAACTGCTTCAGCATCACACCAACCTAGAGAACACATTTCATACAGTAAACTTGTTGCCTTTAGGACTGCCCAGTTGACCATATGTGTTCCAAAATGGGAGTGTTCTACATGGAAATCGGTTCACATCATAGAAATTCTCTCATCCTAACAATACATAGGGACAAAAGTTTTCTTAAGTCACTAATTTAAAGTATCAGTCATCAGGAAGAGAAAAGTACAAAATTCATATGTAATACAGAGAGCATGCATTCAACAATTTTCCAGTCAGTGTTGAAATGATGCTCTTTTCATGACAGACAATTAACATGAGGGCTACTGAAATAAAACCTATTTGCAACATTGCTAGCAAACACAGCTGTGCACATGACACACCAGCAGTCGTCCATGAGAAGCAAAACAGAATGACCATGTTTAAGCAAACAGGAAGTGTGCCATGGATAAATACTGACATTCCAGGACCAACAAGTTGTTGTTCAGTTGCTTGGTGCATATTGTGCAGAAATACGTGTCTCAAACACAAGGATGGTAGAGCGGCACAAGACGTTGTTCAGGGGAAGGACCGACGAGGCAATGTCAGGTCAGGCCCATGTGGACATAACACCCAAGAATGTTGCAGAAGTGGAGGAAGCTGTGTCTGTGGATAAACACTGCAGCATTCATTCACTAGCAGTGCAATTCAATGTATGCATCAACACAGAATCATGTGATGCCTGGGATATTTTAAGGGGTGCACCCAATAGGTCCAACAAAAGCTACAGCACGACACTACTGGTGGAGCATTTGCAGTTCTACCAGACAGAGGGCAGTGATAACAAGTGATACAGCCACTTTGAACCCATAGCAAAAGCTTTAAGCATGTAACAGAAACATCCATCCTTCCCCCACCACAAGATATTCAAGTCCCAACAATCTGAAGGGAAGGTCATGCTTGCTGACTTGTCTGATATCACACGACTGCTGATGCTGGTATTCAAAGACCCTAACATCACCATAAAGGACAATATGACATAAAGTACTAATCACTAAAGAAACACAAGGAAAATATTTTCTGACACTGTTCAGTATGGCTCTGCATACAATGCATTCACATCCACAACACATTTAAATGAAAGCAAATTAAATATAAAAACAGTAAAGGATAATATATTTGGAAACATGTACACTCTCTCTCTCTCTCACTTCACCTTCGCAAGCAGCAGAGCAAGAGTTTCCAGCACTGCAGCCTTCACATTCCACTTGAACCGATCTCCAAGAATACGGATGAGTGGACCCGTGATATGAACCACAGATGGCTGGAGAGCTTGAGCACTGGTCAGTTTTATCACTTCACCTAGGCCCTGTGCAGCCTGCTCTTTTATCTCAGGAAGCCCATTAAGAATAGCTTCACGAAAAATAGGAAGAATCGGCGTGATTCCCTGCAAACAGAATCAATGGCCAATTTTTAGGCGCACTTGTAAATGACAGTACGAATTTCAAACACAGGAAGCCCCTATAATTAAACCTTTCAGTTCATCATCAAAACTGAATGCACACCACACTCTGGTCTACAGCCTTATCAGTTTACTCCTATGCTCACTTTGAAGTAAATAAATAAAACAAAAGTCAGAAATTTTGAAAACAATGATAACAGTGATAATAACAACACTAACAATATAGCATCAACAATACAATTCTCTATTTCAATGCGCTAACTCAACGGCTACAGGAGAAAATTATAGTCAGCACTAGATAAAACATACACAAAAAACAGAAAAAAGTGAAAACTAAAGCAAATACAATGTCAGACAATGCGTCTGGAATCCCAAAGGAAGGACCTAAAATCCATATTTCTATCCAGTAATTTTTTATGGCGGCAATTTCCTATGCGTGTCATGTTTAAAGCTGTTACTTCACGGTTGTTTGACTCTCCATCATGTGTGCGTGGCGCCACTGCTGACAGTCCTCTTACTGGTAAGAGAACGCAGCTTGTTTCTTTGAACGCGTTCAGTCAGAGGATAGCGTAAGTTGTGGGCTCTTATGTCCTTTCTTATAATAAAGATTATTACTAGCCCAGATTTTAGAGGTGTTTGTACTTTTCATAAAAAACAAATTGTGAATTGTAGATATAGCATACCTCAACATAAGACAATAATTTACCTTTGGTAAGCAAAAGCCTGGAAGCAAATCTTGTCCTTTTAAATCACTGACAGCAAAACGCACGGCCGGTCGTATGTCCCCAACATGAGTGGTTTGTTGGGAAGAGTCCAGAGTCTGTAAAACAAAAAGTATTCCAGCATAATACAGGAAGATTGAAAGGGAAGATTCGTGTCTACAATCGGAATACATAAAAAAATTTATATGCATTTCTTATAAGGGACATACAGTATTTGGATAAATACAGCATTAATCTTATAATGTTATAAAATCAAATATGGCAAAAGTAAAATTGTTCCGCCTCCATTATTAAGCTCCACACCATAGACATGTGGGGCGGTGGAGGTATATATCCATTCTTCCGTGTCCTCAGCAGTAGATAGAGGTGAGTGGCCAGCTTCATGCCCCAGCCACTTTACCTACCCCATAGGGAAAGGGTCCCTGGTACTTACCCACTGCAAAGGATGCTGTGTGCACCCTAGAGCCAGTCTGGATGCAGAGGATTAGGGGAAATTATTTTTCCCCTGCCAGGAACTGAACCTCTGTCATCCAGCTTGTAGCCAGTCACTATACAGAGACTGAGCTAACCCAGCTCCTCATAAAAATTAAATCTGAGAATTTAAATTAATCCCTACCACTTACATTTGCATAACCTAATTATTACACAGCATTCCTTAATTAACTAAACCAAACTAAATTACTAAATAAACAAATTAAATTTTACCTGTTGCTTTATATGGATATGAAACTCGGTCTCTCACCCTAAAAAATGTATATATCAATCAAGAACAAGGTGTTAACTGATGCAAATACAACATGAGGAGGAGGGCGGTAAAATTACGAGGTGATGGGCACAATGCTCGGCACTCTTCATCTAATATTGTAATGGTGATTAAATCAGGGAGAATAAGATGGGCAGGACGTAAAGAATGCATGGGAGAGGTATGAAACACAAAATTTCATTCAAGAAACCTCGGGGAAGTTACTACCTGGGACACTTTGGCACAGATGACAAGACAATATTAAAATAGATATTAAGACAAACAGCGATGAGATTTAAATTGCATTCAACTGGCTCAGAAAAAAGTACAACTTCCACATTCTGTACCTTGGTAACAGCACTGAGAGCTTCCCATGCCATCTGAAGCACATCAGGATTTGAGTCTGTGAACAAATGTATTAGGCCTCGCAGGAGCTGTGGCACATACTGAGAGTAGTCAGCATGAGTGTGCCGACAGAAGGCGCAGAGTAACGTGACAGCAGAACGTCGGAGCTCCACCTTGTCTGACCGAGTGGACTCCATCAGCTGGTCCATGATTGTCCGAATACCAACTTCATCTGTCACTGACAGTACAACAGCTTGGCAGTATTCCAGCTCCTGCAGACAAGACCAACAACCACGTTATGTTATGTTATGTTAAGATATGAATAAGTCTGCACTCAACTTGCATTATCTGCCTGTTGTGAATATGTAAAATAAATTAAGTTGGCCTGTTATGCCAAGGTCAGCCTCCACTCAGTTTCAATTTCTATAACCTCAGTCAAATTATCTTAATGTCAAATTTCTTCCCTTTAGCTTTCCTCCTTCTAGTTTCAATTCTCTATCAAAACACTTTTCCTAACCACATAAGTATATGATACAGAACAATCTCAGTATAATGAACTTCTGTGGACAGACAAGTTATATTCGCTACAATGACATTTCATTACAATGATAGGCAATATTAATGAATATGACTGAAGTGTAGTTTTCTGAACGATTTCCAGCAACACAAAAAGTGCAATGATTATATGCAGTTTGTTTACAGTCATCTCTTTCCACCTTCTCATCACAGAAAGTGATCCCACATTCACATTGCACGCATGAATACACTGTTGCTCATACAGATTCATCTGCGCCAAAATGAATTGTATAAATTCCCGGTGAAACATCTTTTGAAAGCTGTCACCCTATCACCGAAGTTGTGGTCCGAGCATATAACAAAACACTTCAAGTACACTTTGAAAGGAATTTATATCTGTCCGCAATAAGTTTGACAGCAAAAAATTTTGTAATATGCTAATCACCATTCCCACTTCTAGCATATCACTTTCATTCTCATGGGTTTCAACAAGCACTACTTGTAAAAAAAAAACCTTCTTTGATACATTCGTAAACAGAATTATACCCTCCCACATTTTTCATATCTAATAATCTGTCTAAATATCAGATTTTTTGTATAAAGTGAAGCTTTCGTGGAGATGGAAGTTGATGAAAGACTCTCGATTAACAAGCCACCTGACGCGGCTTGGCACCCGAGGGTATTTCATCATCAGATGTGTTGTTTGCGCTGTAAGACCATGGCTCCATTTATTTAGTAGCCTATATTTATGAGTGAGATCATCAGATGTTTACCTGAGCCTGTGTTTCTAAAACAAAGCCTCTCATTCATTCTAGTAAAAATAGCATCTTGAAAGTGTTTGCAGTTTCATTAATTGATGTCACATAACACCAGCGTGTCACACTCCAATGTACATCAAACTGAAAAAGGGAGGCAGACTACAGATGAATGACGTATGCGGCAAATTGCATTGAGGGGTTAAATAATGGCTCACCTGGGCCTCATGTGGTGTGCCTTGGGCCATAGACAGAGCTGCCAGAAGTGCAGGCAATATCTTGTGCAAGTACTTTGTAAGAGCTTCGCCTGCCACAGAGGCAAGAATTGATAAAGCCTTGGTGTTTACTCGTGGAGGAGCGATAAGCTGTGGAACAAGGTACGGCAGAACCACGCGTGACTTTATGGCCATCACCTGCCGTAACCCCTCTAGCGCGGACTCTGCAACCTTCGGGTGTGGGTCAATCTGAAAAAGAAAAAGTTTTCAATACTCCTTAAAACAGAAACTGACATTCCTTCCCATATGTAACTTGCAACTATAAAATTTTCACCAAGCAAATGGACTCTAATCAGAGGTATTTATGCACTAGTACCACT